TGGGTGTTATGCACAAACAATGAATCATGGAACACTACATCAAAAACTAATGATGTAATGTATGGTGATTAACATAACAATAAAAAATTATCTAAAAAAATGGATGAAAAAGAGTAAAAAAAAGAAAACTAATGATGTAATATGTGGTGATTAACATAACAATTAAAAAATTTTTAAAAAAGTATATGAAGACAAATATGCACAAGAGTTTTAATTATAGAGGTAGCCATCTATTTTGCTTTTTAAGTAAAAGAAAGAAATGGCAGATCTATATATAGACTGCTTGGAAAGTCTAGAAAAACAGACACTATATAGAATGCCATCAAGGACATCTTCAATTTTCAAATAATAAGAAAATAATATTACCTGGTTTTCCAAGTTTTAAGGCCCCTCTGAAGATTGATTTGGGACACTCCTTAAGATGGATTATCAATTGAATGAAAAAGCAAATAGCAAAACAGTATGTACTTTATTATTACATTTATATAATTTACATAAGCTTGATTGATATAAATCAAATGCACAATTATATCCATACAAAATTTATTCATAATAAGGTTATATGGTGGTGCAGGTGACAGGATTGAAAAGGCAAGGGAGAATTCTGTTTTGACTGTATTGTTTGAAATGTTTGCCGTGAGAACACAGTCACTGAACACAACTCTGATCAATAACAAATCATTTGCAAAACACTTCAACACCTCCGTATGCTCTGTATGTGTCCATACAAGGCTCTTCCCCATAGAACGTAAATCTTTTAGAAAAGAAGGCTCCCAATTGGCTGGAGATGGGACCCCATGGGAAGCCATGTGTTTTTTAAGTACTGTGCTGCAGCTTCACCACCTACTCTCTAGCCTGGAACTTGGACTCAATCTCTAGGAGAATCACAGTGGGGCAAATACAAAGAATGGCAAGAAGGTGGCATTGCTTAGGAAGTAATTAATCGAAAAGACTGGAGCCAAGGTATGGACCTCAAGTGAGGGCTAAAGGAAGCACTTGCAGCAAAAGAGGAGGACCCCATAAAGCTCCGCCCCTGCTCTCAACCCTGGGAGACAACCCGCAGAGGCGGCCGGAAGTGGCGTCCCTTCATTTTGGCCTCAGTATTCTAAAAGCAGTGAGGGCCTTCAGTTAAAGAGGTGTGGTCTCAGGTTAGCAGAGGGAGGAGTCCCAGGCTGAGGGCACCCCTGACTCCAGAATGGAAGAAGCTCTAAGGGTTTCTCCATGACTGTTGGCAATGGGAAGCTCCAAGATAACTATCAGAGGCTCTCTCTGACTCCAGCCTCTTGGGAGTCTGACAGTGGTGAGGATCTTGGCGTACAGGGCATAACCTCAATTCAGAGGAGGGAGGACTCCCTGCCCCTGAAGGGACTCCAGGTGCCAACACTGAATGAGGTTAACTACCCCGGAACACAAGGAGCCCCACAGAACCTTACTCCTGCTCTCAGCTCTGGGAGGACCCGGACATGGGACGGGGGAGCGGACAGGGAGAAGGGGAAGGAACGTCCCCTAACTTCCACTTTGAAAGTTTGGTCGGTGAAGGCCGGTACTGGAAGGCGTGGCCTCTATCGGCAGAAGGAGAAACCTACGACTGGTCAAGTGAGGATATTGAATGATATCATTCAGGGAGCCAGTGACACCAGAATAAAAGGGGGCTGGCCCATTGAGTAAAGCCCTCTTTTCTCATCCCAGAAAACCCCTGAAATAATGGTCAGACTGAGGCACCCACTGACTGGAGCCTCAGGAATCCGAGGGTAGTGAGGGCCGCAGTGTTGGGTGGGGGTGGGGTGGTGGCAGCCACGTCAACAGAGGGAGGACTGCGTGAGGACTGAGGGGCCCCTTAGAGCTCTACTGTCAGCCCTGGGTGGATCAAGGTGGAGCTGGGGGTGGGGGGAGGGCATGCCTGGCAGTGCTTTCCCTTCACTTTTCCTCTGGAGTCTAAGTGCAGCCTCCAGTCGGCCGAGGGGGAGTCCCAGCCTCTACCACAGTCAAGGGAAGATGATCAGTGAAGATTGAGGGAACATCCACTCCACACTGGAAGGGACTATACAGATCCCAACCCCTATCATCACCCCTGGGAGGTGTTGGGCAGGGGTAGCTGGAACTGGCATCCACTGACTGGCTGGAGAATCTGAGGGCGGGAAGTACTTTGTTCTGAGAGAGGTCTCAGTTCAGCCAAGGAGAAATGGCAGGCCTGCCCCCACTCTCAGCAGAAGACTCTGAGCGGAGGCGGATGTGACCAGCCCACCACCTCACAATAGAGGGATCCTCTACATATGAGCCCGGTCCCGGCTGTGAGCTCTGGGAGGATCTGAAACAGCCATCAGACTGGGTTGCCCCCTGACTTCTACTTTCGGTTTGTAGGAAGGTAAGGCCCGTTCCGAGGAAGGCGGCATCAAGTGATCAGAGGGAGGAGTCTCAGACCCTCCCAAGGGTCAAGGTCAGATACTGAGTGAGGAATGAGGAGACCTCTCCGCTAGAATGGAGAAGACCCCTCAGAACTGGTGTCAGCCCTGGGAGGAGAAGGGGGTGGCCAGGAGTGACTTCCCCTGATTTTTGCCTGGAGAGTGTGAGGATGGCAAAGACCTTAAGAGGTCCAGCCTCAAGTAAGCAGAAAAAGGAATCCCAGGCCCTGCCAGGAATCCAAGTAAGATGCTGAGGAGAGACTGGAGGGAATCACATACTCCAGAATAGCGGGAGCTCTACAGAGCCCTATTCCTGTTGTCAGACTGGGTAGGCCCTGGAAGAGTTGACAGACTTTGTTGCCTTCTGACTTTGGGAGTTTGAGGACTGTTGTCTCAAATGAGCAGACAGAAGTTATCTTCGTCTCTGTCAAGGTCAAAGTTAGGACCTCAAGTGAGGCTGGAGGGGACCACACATGCCAGAACAACAGAGCCCCCAACAGATGGCTGCCTTCCTCTGTCACCTCTGGGAGGCCCAGGAGGGTGTGACCTGATAATGAGGCACCCCCCTACTTCCTTTCCCTTGGTATTTGTCTCTCAGAGCTGAGAGGCTCTGAGAAGTGTTGTCAGTCAGAGGCAAGCCCTTGCTTTTTAACTCAAGAGACTCAAGGAGATTAAGGTCTCTTTCTGAGGTGATAATCCTTGGGTGTGTACAGGGCGGAGTCCCAGATACTCCCTGGGGTCACAATGAGGACTTTGAACAAAGACAGAGGGGGCCACTCACTCGAAAACAGAAAGGATCCCACAGAGCCAAACCCTACCTACCCTGTTGTCTGCCGTGGGAAGCCTTGGCTGTGTCAGCCGGCTGCACCCTGAGGAGCCTTTTCACTTCCTCCTCCAGCTTCTTGCAGGTCAGGAAAGGAGACCTGTGAGGCTCTAGAGCACTGTTCTCAGGAAAAGATGGGTGGAGACACTCTTCATTAGAGCTGCCACAGTTGAGTTTACCAGATGAGGCCGCTCACATCCTCCCTTTCTCCCTAGGTTGTGGTCCCCTATCATCCACCCTTCTGCCTGCTACCACTAACGGAAGTGAGCGTGTCTCAGGGTCAGGAGATCCCAAGCTGCACGCAGGAACAACACTGTGCCCCCAGTGAGATCTAAGGCCTGGAGGCTACACAGGTCTCCAAGGCTGTGGAGGAGGCCTCTCCTTCCATTTGTCCTCTGATGCCTGGCAACATGGAGGAAGCTCTGGCTGCTGGAACATCCACCACTCCCCTGGGTCCTCAGAGTGCCTACTCATCTTATACTGTCATCACGGCCATCTCACCAAGCAAATCAGATGAGGGCTCCAGCAGCCAAGAAAAGGAAGATAGTTCAACTTCTTCATCAAAGTCCCTGTCCGACATCGAGAACTTCCCCATAGACCTTGCAGGTGAGAAGGTGATGATGCTGGTGCAGTTCCTGCTGCATAAGTGTCAAATGAAAGAGCCCATCACAAGGGCAGATATGATTGATGTTATCCAAGAGTGCAATGATGACTTCCCCGAGATCCTCAGGAAAGTCTTCAAGTGCATGGAGCTGGTCTTTGGTGTTGCTATGAATGAGGTGGACCCCACCAGCCACAGTTATGTCCTTTTCAACAAACTGGGCCTCACTTATGACGCTAGGCTTGGTCATGAGGACAGCATGCCCAAGACCAGCCTCCTGATAATTGTCCTGGGCATGATCTTCATGAAGGGCAATTGTGCCACTGAGGAGGAGATCTGGGAAGTGCTGAATATGATGGACTTATATGCTGGGAGGAAGCACTTCATCTTTGCGGAGCCCAGGAAGTTCATCACCCAAGATTTGGTGCAAGAAGAGTACGTGGAGTACCGCCAGGTGGCCAACAGTGATCCTCCACGCTACAAGTTCCTGTGGGGCCCCAGAGCCCACGCTGAAGCCAGCAAGATGAAAATGCTGGAATTTTTGACGAAGATCCATGAGTCCAACCCCAGGTGCTTCCCATCCCAGTATGAGGACGCTTTGAGAGATCAAGCAGAGAGAGCCCGAGCCAGACCAGTAGCCAAGGAGGGTGCTAGTGCCATGGGCAGCACCCATTCTAGGCTTGTGATTTGTGAACATTCACAAACTTTCTAAGCCTCACGTTCTTCATCTTGAAATGGGCTTGATCAGCCTTGTGCAGGATCTGGCATCCCCTCCCAGCCCTCCCAGCCCTAGTCCGGTGGGAAGCAGATTCCTCACTTTGTCATTAAAATTAGCAGTCAACCTTCTAAGTAGTGGAGTGCTGGAGTGTGGCTGTAGGGAACACAACACATAACATCTCTGTGTCCCTCTTCTATATGGTTCACGGGGAGGTTTATCTTCTTCATGGGTGGGGGGAGGGGAGTTCGGTTTCAAATGTTGTGCCCTTTAAAACACCGTTTTATTAGCTTTAGAATCTTAGGTTTATGAATGACACTGGTCATATGTTTACTACTTATGAAATTTAAGAATACAAGTTTTGCTTGTTTGTAAAACAAAATGGACCATCTTATTTTGTCATCTAGAAAAGGTCAATGATATTCGAATAGGCCTTTCTTTGGAAGTGTCAAAGAATTCAGCAGTTAAATAGTTGGGATCAAGAAAAAAAACCCTAAAGATGGTCAAAAGATACCAAAAGATGGCCAATTCTTAGCCTCTCTTAACCCTCCCAATCTGCTGTTCTGTAAAATTAAATGACATATACAGGCATTTGCTTGGATTATTTAAGAATATGTGAAAAGTAAATAATAAATTATACCCCAGGTACACTGGCTCATTTATTCCCAAATATTAATTCAGCATCTGCCTTTTGGAAAGCACTGTGTTAGTAGTGGGGATGCTAGGGTAAACAAGACTCACCACCTGCCCATAGATTTTAGATTCTAGGAGCAAGAATCATGTAAAGAAAATAACGGTTGAGTATCCTTCAATACCAAAAGAAAAAGTAAAAAGGAATGAAGAGGTTGGGGGGGGGTTCCATATGAAGGCAGTCAAGTATAAATATCCTGAGACAGGCTGTGGACTTGGGAAATTACAAGCCCTTCAGTGGGAGGTAATTTTAAATTAAGCTGTAGTACACTAGCTAAGGCTATGGGAGTGGTGAACAGGGGTCAGACCCTCAGATGGTGTGTCTCAGGGTTGAGAATGAAAAGTGTTCTTAGCGGCTACTTTGGGATTATGGGTTGACCAGATCCCACCTGGGACAGGAATGGAAGCCAACCTGCATTCTTGCTCAAGTGCAGTTGAACACAATGCACAAATTGGGTGTTTCATGAACATCATCTTCAAGGAGTTTGTGAGAAATAAGGGTGACATTTCCTTGAGGTGAGATACCCCAAAGCCACTGGGCTGGCACTCTACCCTGGGCTCAGAGATCCAGAGCCTATACCATTCATTAAATGGGTTATGTTCAATACACTTTGGCAAACTCTAAGCAAGGCCTAGATTTTTCGAGGAGGTAAGTGAATGAAAAGAGAGATGGATTACTGGAGGGGCAGCTGGGAGGGAAGGAACGAGTTGGTCCTTGACACAAATTCTAGGAGTGTGGAGTTGTGTTCAGTTGAGAACTACTCCCCCAAACCCATGTTAAATAATATATCCTCTACTGGGGAAGATTTACTAAGGTCTTCTTGTTAAGCAGCCATTTGGGCTGGTTTGGTGTGCCGTGTCCTAGAACACTGTGTATTCTCTGCCGTCTCCTGGGTTAACAAATCCCAGAGAGGAAGGCACTAATGTCTGGGGTCAAAATCATCATAGTAGTAATTGCCGATCATCAAAGACCCCACACACACCATACACCGTGCCAGGGGCTTGACATACAACACATACATTCTAATGGTCATGCATACAAGACAAGGCTGATCAAGCCCATTTCAAGATGAAGAACGTGAGGCTTAGAAAGTTTGTGAATGTTCACAAATCACAAGCCTAGTATGTGACAGAGTTGGGACTAGACCTCCTGTTTGAATTCTTCCAGAGCCCATGCTATTCTTCCTACTCCTTCCAACCTGGGGACAACCTTTTTTTTTGTTTTGTTTTTAAGATTTTATTTCACAGAGAGAGAGAGAGAGAGCGTGAGCGTGCCAGTGCACAAGCAAGGGGAGGGGCAGGGAGAGGGAGAGGGAGAAGCAGACTCACCGCTGAGCAGGGAGCCCGACCCGGGGCTCAATCCCAGGACCCTGGATCATGACCTGGGCCTAAGGCAGATGCTCAACCAACTGAGCCACCCAGGTGCCCGCCTAGGGACAACCTTCTGTTAACTCATTTCTCTTCTTACTCCTCCATAATGCTTCTCAGGAGGTAAAACGAAGGACCTTGTAGCCAAAGTAGGAAAAATGAATAGATATAGTGAAGGAATGTGAAAATGTGAATCACACACAATTTGGGCATTGTCTGTGGGGCCCATTTACCCACAGTGCTGCTGCCTCACCCCAGGGCGCCTCGAGAGCTGCCTCTGCTCAGTAACTGACACGGGTGTGCAGTCCCAACACTTCCCCACATTACGGTGCCCTTCCTCTGAGTCTTCCCCCATCGCCCTCCTGTCCAACTCTGGAAGCTGACCTGCTGTCCAGCCCTTCACCACATCTTCCTCTGGACACTGTCCCCTGTTTCCAGTGGAACAGACAGTCGAGGACCACCTGCGCTCCCCCTGACTCAGAGGATTCCATTTTCTGCAGGCATCTCCTGGCTGACTTTCACCATGGGATCCCTCTGCTACAACCCCTTCTCTTAAAAGATTTTATTTATTTATTTGTTTATTAGAGAGACACAGAAAGAGTGGGGGGGTGGCGCGGGAGGAGCAGAGGAGGGGGTGGGAAAGAATCTCAAGCAGACTCTGTGCTGAGCACAGAGCCCCGATGCAGGGCTCGATCTCACGACCTGAGATCATGACCTGAGCTAAAACCAAGAGTCAGATGTGTAACTGACTGAGCCACCCAGGTGCTGTACCTGTTTCTCTTTAAAGAGTCAAGTTTAGGTACATGGTCGTTCCCTGATGGGCTTCTTCTTCACCATACTCTCCAAGTGTTTTACAAGTGGGCTTGTGAGTGGAGTCTAAGTAGGCACAGAACATACTGGTTCTTGGGATGTAAACGTAAACTAAGAGAAGATTTTGAAACCACCTTGATATTTGTAGTAGGATTTTAATGGGATGGCCTATTTGGGACTAGCCACTGAAAAGATACCAATGAGTAAGCATACCTAGGTGGTCAGAAACCAAAGCCTCACTCTTAAGAGATAGAGGGGGCAAGACCATGGAAATCCCTGTGCAAGCAAACATCTATAAATCCCAAGTCTGAATTCCTATAACCCTGGAAGTCCTGGAAGCAGGAAGAATGGAGATGCCAAGGATTGGTTCCTTGGCCTAACGTGCTATACTGATTAAAAAAGAAAAAAAAAAAAATAGCTCGCCATCCTTATGTTATCTCTAGCTTGTGTACTTTCCGCAGAACAAAGTCCTTGTTTTCACGGTGCCTAGGAGCACTGTACAGATGTTCAGGCGCATTCAGTCCGGTGGTATCCAGCAGACGCTCTCAAGTTAAGATACTGACCATGCAGCAAAAAGAACGAGGTAATTCTCACCTACTGAAATTATAGAGGTTTTTGCAAGTTTGTGTTACTGAGTGAAGATGGGTGAAACTTTCCAGTAGGGATTTACAGGGTTCTTTTAAAAATCAGATGTGATCCTGTACTTGAAAGCATGCTCAAAAAAGGTGGCCAGCTGCAAGGCGAAGAACAGGCTTCACAGAAACTACTCCAGGAAACAAAGAGGGTTATTGTCCCAACAAACCGTAATAGTTGCTCTTTATAACCAAGGAAGGGACTGCAAGTGCTCATGCATATCCTTTCTTGGCTTTTCCCTGGGTTCACAGGAAAGCTACATTCCCAGTCCACTTGCAATTAAGAAGGGTCAGGCAGGGACGCCTGGCTAGCTCAATTAAGCGGCTGCCTTCAGCTCAGGTCATGACCCCGGGGTCCTGGGATTGAGCCCCGCATTGGGCTCCCTGCTCAGCGGGGAGCCTGCTTCTCCCTCTGCCTGCCGCTCCCCCTTCTTGTGCTCTTGCTCTCAGACAAATAAATAAAATCTTAAAAAAAAAAAAAAAGGATCATGTGACTACTCTTGCCAGAAGAAGTATTTGTCATTTCTGGGCCAACTCATTTGAGATCCAGGATGCTACCTCCACTTTCTTTCTTGCATTCAGTAGAAAGATGGAGAGCTCATGTCGAGACATGGAACTACAAGATGGAAGCAGCCTACGTCTGAGTCACCAGTGAGCAAAGATGCACATCAAATTTTATGTGCACAAGAAATAAACCTTTGTTAAGTCATTCAGATTTTATGTTTTGCATCAGCTAGCAGTTATTTTATCTAGCTAATAAACAGGTACTATTTATGTTGTTAAGCTTATTTAAAATTTTTAATGACAAAGCTAATAATAGCGCATATATTCTCTCGTTGCAAGTATTTCTAACAACATACATAAATCTATCCCTTCCCTTTGCCACGTTCCTCTAAAACTCCGCTTTCTCCTCAGAGGTAACTACAATAAAAAATATATGGTGCCTATTATTTTAAAGGTAATTTTAAGCTTTTTAATACATAGATGCGCTATAAAAATATACTGTGATTTTTTTTTAACAGACTGGGTAGCAACGTACATACTGTTCTCCCACTTGCCTTTGTCACTTAATAAAATGAAAGCAGCATCATTCCATGACAACACATATAAATCCACCTCATTATTTTAACTACTCCCTAGGATTCTGAAGTATGTATGTTCCATAATTAATTTAACTATTTTCCTCCTGATGGACGCATAAGTAGTTCCCATTAGTTTCTATGCTTAACAGAACTGAATCAACATCTTTAGACATTAGTTCTTGGGCAAATGTGCATAGGAAAGACATAACAAACCGAAATTGGGGTGAGGTGGAGAGGGTATGAAAATTGCACATTTTTGTAAATATTGCCAAAATATCACCCCACATATCTACCCATTAATATTTCACAAACTGATGTATGTAAATACCCTACACTCTCTTATTTTGTTTTTTAAATCCTTCAACTTTTGGTCAAACTTACGAAAAAATAATGTCTCACAGTTATATTAATTTGT